GCAGAAGGGAAACGTGTTCCTTTGCAGCCTGGCCCATGGCTCCCCCGCTGTGGGAACACTTTCTCAGTTTGCCCAGCTAACATGTGACTCGGGTAGGTGCACATACAGATTTCACACACATACTTCTTTCATGTACACACAAGTAGGTTCCTGCTTTGAAAAACTGAATAAAGCATTTGCTGGCAAACAGCTATGCATTAATTTTATTTTTAAATGCCACGATGTGCATAAAAACCGGGATAGCTTCACACTAGGAAAACAAAAACAATGCTTTCATAGTTTTGAAAATAAGCCTCCAGATTATGAACATCTTCAGGCGTTCTTGACATCTTCATAACCCCATCAGCGCCAATGAGTAATGATTGCTGAATGCTGACTTTACAGCCAACAGGCTCCCTCAACACCAACGAATGGATGGATTGCTCAGGGGGATTAGGCGGGTTGCCAGCCCCCTACCAGCAATGCCTTTTGCAAGGTGTGACACTGGCCAAGTGAGAAGTCCCACCACCATGCAACAGGGTCATCTGCATCAGGGTTGGAGCCTGCCCTGCTGCATCGCAGCGCACATAGACATAGGAAGGGCTGCCATGGGGGAAGGAGCAGGGTTAGTTCAGGCATGTTCCTCAGAAAGACTTACTTGGCTGCTCCAGTGTTTGGGATCACTGGAGGAACTAGACTCCCTTCCAGCTCTCTCATTACTTGTCGGGTTTCCAGCACTGGGCTTCCGACACTGGACTTCCTTCCTGTCTAGATCCGTCTGCTGAGCTGGTCGGTGTCAGGGTAACAAGATGGGAACATCATTATCCAGACCTGATTTTGTCTGACCTCCGTCATCTGAAACATGTTCAAGGATCACAACTCTGTTTCCAATTTAAAGGAATTTTGGATGAGCTGGCTCTGAGCTATTCTTGCTACACTGATAATGCAAAAAGGAAGAAAAAAAAATCCACTATAAGAGTTCAAGCAAAAGTCCCAAAAGTCCTTCCAAAACTACATGTCTGCTGCAGAATAGCACAGACAGTCCTAAAGAAGCCATAGCTATAGAAAGGCTCTCTTGTGTCCTTACCTTCTCCGCCTGTGAATGAGGTGGGAGCTGTGTTCCCTGCACTGCTGTCTGAGTGGTGAGCTTGCAGATGTGGCCTTCCAATGGTTTTGTTGTCAGGAGGCCAGTTTATTTACATGTGACGTGAACACTGATCTCTTTTTTTTTTCCTCCGGAAAACAGGAGGAAAAAACCCAAGAATAGGCAGTGTCCTGACTGTCTCCATCAGCCCCTCCAGTAAAGCTGGGCCTGAAGAACCACCTTAGCATCACCCTCACTGCCCTTTCTTCATGGTTTTTCATGTATTTTTGTTCTCGTGTGTATGCACAGACCACAAACCCCTCCCCTTGCCTGGGCACCCAGGCAGCTCCTCAGACATCTCTGCTGCGCTTCCAACTTGGACTTTGGTGCTCCTTGTTCTGGGCAGTTTCTGTGTTTTCCAACGCCCTCACTTCTTTCAGTTCATTGAAGTGCTTATTCCATTCAGCCCCTTGGCTTTAGCTGAGCCCACAGTCCCCCCCAGATCAAAGGCAGCAGCTATTAGCATTATCTCGTCTAACAATTTGTTTATACAGCAGAAGGAAAAGGGGCCCTAATCTAGATCAGGCTTTTACATGCTGCTAAAAAACAAATGGTAAAAGATGATTATTTGACTTGTTTGCAAGGGTCCACTTTTCACAGCAGACCCTTTCAGAAGGGCAAGTGATGGATGGGGAGAGACTTTTGCTAAACTTTGTCTGGGCTGGATGCCTTTCTAGGGGCTAGAGACAGGAGCTTGGAAGTACCGAGTGCTCTGCCCGTCCCAGCACACATCCCGGCTTCCTTGCAAATAGTCACACCAAACACTGCACCTGCAGCACGGGAATTTACAGATTATGTCAGAAACATCACTGTCAGGAGAAAGCTGGTAGCTGAAATTAGGAGTTTGCACTCTGCCGTGCACTGGAAACCACCAGGGACCAGCAGCCGACTTTGGAGTAACAGTTTTCTCTGTGCAAACCTGAGCGTTCAATGGCTGCACACCCAATTAAACAGCAGTTCTTATCTTCTGTTCCCGCTCCTGCTGCATGAACCTGTATTTCAGAAACCACCCTTGCAGGTGTGATTAGCAGACCCGAGGCAGGTAACGTTGGCAGGGGTACCAGCAGAGAAGTCTCAAGGCACCTTTTCTTTCTCGTCCTTAGTTCAGCAGCCAGAAGTTGCTCGTGGGGTACACAAAGACTCAGGGCACACAAACACAATTACAAGCCTGCACTCCTGGGACAGGGAAGCACAGATGTCAGGTATCAATCACACTGTCTCCAGGTGGGTTGATGATCTGGGAGACTGTTTGCCTTGGGCCTGTGCCTTAGCATCTCTTATACTACCTTCTTTTTACTTTTTATCTTCAAGATTAAAACATCACCTCTGTTTTCTTACAGCTCCAAAGTGAGAAGGAGGTGGGGAGGAGGGCAGTGAAGACTGCTGTAAAGACCTTTTCATACCAGGGACCAATATATTGGATGCTGTCCCTGGGAAACTATTATTTACCTCTGCTGGAATGGGAAAGTAAAAAAGCTGGAACAAGCACATCTCTCAGATACATGCAGTGCAATTGTCTATACGAGGCAGTTCCACGGGAAGCCCACCAGAGAACCAGACGCTCTCAGCAAACACGGCTGAGCACACAGTGTGCCAAAAGAAAAGTGTGAGGCATTAAACATTTCCTTTCCTTCCTCTACCACCTTTTCACAACAGGACAGAAACCATCTGAATATTTTTTCCTCGAAAATGTTCTGCAATTACTTTAAAAAAAATATTTAGAAATACATTTCCACCAGCAGCAGCACTTATTCTTTACTAATTCATGAAGAAAAAATAGGAAGCAATTGGTAAAAGCTGATTTCTTGGAGATAGAGATGCCTGATTTTATAACTTGGCCGGATCACTTGGGCTCAGAGCTACAAAGGAACACGAGTGCTACAACAGCCGGCATTGCAAACACCTGATTTTTGTACGCCTGTCCTCTCCTCCCCATCCTTCTCTCACCTGAAGTGCTGGAAGCAAAGCACAGACATTCACTCTGCCTGGCACCTGGGAATGGGGGTTTAAAAAAATACCAACCCAAAACAACACCCAGGGTGTTGTACGTGAGCTACCGAAATTAGCCAGTGAGAAATGCTGGAGAAAAAGGTGTGTTACAGCCTTGTCCTGTCTAGGGCTTAGATGCCTTGTTCAGGTTTAGCGGGACATGCTTCTTTTCACTCTGGATTCACAGCGCTGAAAACTTAATTAGAGCTTTTCACCTTGCATTAATTAACATGAGAAATGATGAGATCTCTCTTTAGTCTGCTTTGTCTCCTCCCACCCGTTATCCTTGAATAACCCATTGCCTGTGGGTTCCCGCTCTCCCTAGGCACAGAGTTGCATTCCTACCAGGGAGGAGGGACCCCCACACAGCCTGGGTGAGGAGAGTTGGGATGTCCTTCTGCTGTCTTTTAGAGGGAAGGGGATGTGTTTTGTGTAGCCCAGAGTGAAGGGCACAGTCTGAGAGACCCTACTAAACCAAGGCAAGCTTCTCCGGGGAAAATCCTGTATGTAGTTCGCACCCACACTGAGGAGGTGAGCCCCAAGTTAACCTGGGGCACTTGGGTGTGCCTGGGAGCAAAGCCCTGGTGTCAGAAATGAACGGCAACCCTTCAGACAGGAGCAAGGTGCTGCATTTAGGGACCCACATGATCCACGTGGCCAAAATGAATGGGACTTGTAACCCCTCTGGACACTCCAGCCTCCCTGCAGTGTTGCTCTCACATACACCAAATGGTCCAGAACTGCTGGGGTTTTCAGCCCAGCTTAGGAAGGAGCCAGAGCTGCTCTGCAAGGAGCAAAAACAAAGGCAGTCCAGGAGGTGCTTGGTGTCTGCAGAGTGGTATCGCCGTGGGGCAGCACCCCCGGGCCTGCTGGTGGCATCTCCAAACTGGCAATGAGAAAGGGTTGTCCTCTCTGGCACCTGAGTTGGAGCCCCGAGCCCCCCACCAGGCACAGAATCGCTCTCTAGGAGGAAAGTGAGCATGAGGAAAAACTGCAAAATGAGCAATGTGGCCTCCGTGGGCCTTAAAAAATTGTAATCAAAGAGCTAAGAAAACAATTTCAAAATGTGCAAAAGTACCCAGGAGAGTCAATTACCATCTTCATTCTACAAAGCCCTGAAACAACTTGGATTCTACTTTCATACTGTTGAAATTTAACCAACTTCCTGCCCCCTATTAGTTTCAATCCGCTTTATAAGGAAAAAAAAAATCTCTGGGAAAACCAAAGTTGCCTTTCCGTTAACGCTGCTCTGCCGCGGATTTCCTCCACCGCCCCGCGACAGCCGGGCAGCGGGGACGGGCTCTGCCGGCGGCTGTCACCGCCGCTCCCGGCCGGTCCCCTCAGCGCCAAATGCCATCACACCCACACACCGACGTGTCCCCGCGACGTGTCCGTGGGAGGGGCGGGACACCCTCGGAGACACACACACACTCTCTCACACACACACCCCACAGACACTCACACACACACACGCGTGGCGGCAGCGGGCGGCGCCGCCAGGTGCGCCCGCCCCGTCCCGGCCCCGGAGTGGGGCGGCCGCCGCTCCTCGCCCCACCCCGCCGCGCCGGGAGCTCGCCGCCCCCCGGCTGAAGTCCGGTGCCGCCGTACCGCGCCGTGCCGTGCCGGGGGTGCCGTCACTC